TTCGTTCATAATAAATCTCTTTATACTCATCAAGCCAAACCTGAAATTAAAAATCTTGTTGAAAATGCTCAGCTGCACGGTCTAAAAGCAAATTTTCGAAAGCAAATTCAAAAGAAGTTTACCACTGATGCATCACCAAACTTATAACTGTAGCATATTGAATTGGTGAGGATCTAACTAACGAAAATCGTTTAGCACAAGAAGATCGCATCTTCAACAGCACACTAAATGACCAAAAATAAAACCTCAGCTAATCGAACGTTATTCCTCTGTAAAACATTAACACCGGTTCTCCATTTGTATGGTGATTTCTTTCGGAATATGTGACCCACGTGACTGCACGGCACTATCTCCAAACGACCACCACACATCCAAATCTGAATTGCACTCAGAAATTGTTCGATCAATTGACATACTACAATACCGCATCACTTGACCGTTCAATGCGTAAACTTTTACTCCGCACTGTTCGATTTCTATTAGTTTTTGATAGTTTAGATCATCTGGTATTTAGTCACTGTATACTCATTTTCCATGGAGCAGTCTCGTTCAAAATCTGCTTAATAGCCGATATCGTAACAGAGTTTCACATTCAAATAGCTGATGAAGCATGATCTTCATGTCTTTTATCTTGTATTTTGCCTCCTTTAATGAAAACCGACAAAATCCAGCAAATTGGATTGTAATCGATGGAAGACGATTGCATCCGATGGTATTCGAAAAGACAAACTAAAAAATACACGAAACCTTGAATGAAATTTCGAGATTTTCACCACCCCAAATATCAAATCCAGGATCATAAGTGCCCAATTTCTCGAAATAATTCCGATCGATCGCGAATAAACCACCAGCCATCGTTGGTGAACTGAAAATGATAACGATATTTCATTATCACCTGCGAAGCATCCAAATCTATTCATAGCATCAACTGATAATGCATATGAGGAATGCTGATTAACTGGTTCATAGTTAAAATGAATGGTCAATCATTGTTGATCAATTATTCAATCATTTCGATTGCACTCGAACCACTTTCCTGATTGCACCACAAGAGCGCCTTTATTTAATGAGATTTAGGAGATACTTTAAGAAGCGTCGCGTTCACAATTCTGTTCGTTTGGAATTGAATTATTTTATCAATTTCAGATGCTCAGAAATATTTTCAAGAGGAAATCGCATAGTCGATGGAAGTGGAAAAAAACAAGAAAAATAAAATGAAAATAACGTACGGAACTGGCTCAATGCGGCTCTTCATCTTCTTGAAATCCCTGTCCGGTAACGTGTGCCAGTTGAATGTCAAACCCCAATTAAAACCACCAACACTTAAACGAGTATTTGTTGTGTAATAAAATTGAAAGGTATCTAAATCAATCGTATCAATTACTGGTGTTACTACATTCGACGTGTTTTCAGCGATTCGAGCCAAAAGTGGTTCAGCCCATCCTGAAATGAGTTGCGATTGATATTCATTGATTATCAACTCTGCAAGCAATCCATATCAAACAGTGTTTATTTGTGAAAGTTATCGTCCACTATTTTCAACTACG